GATGTGGAGACCTAAATCCTGGCTTGATGGAGGAGGACGTAACTCTGTAGCACCCCACAGCATGGAGTTCTGAGTAAAAGTCTCGATGCTACCTCACTTTCAGGGAAACCAAACCAAATACAACCACATCTGCTTGGGGTACAAGTGTTTAATCCTAAACTAACTGTCAGGAGAACTAATTTTTGAGGATTTTTAGAACATGAAGGGCAGTTCAGATACTTTAGGGGGCATCCACTCCCCAAATCTGCAACGTGGCCTGGTTCATTCAAGCTACAAACTACAAATTGGAATTGCAGTTGCATGATTTGCTGTGTCTTGTGTGTGATTTATTTTAGGGGCACAAATTCATACACATGCAAACCGTAACCAAGGAAATAACATTTGAGGTTATTATTTTTTTGTGCTACATGTAAAAACGGAAGCCAAGCTTAGTGTTAGCTGGGACACAGGTAATCCTTGATTTAGAACCGTTCGCTTAGCAACTGTTTGAAGTTACAACAGCGCAAGGTGGATAAAAAGAGATTTAAAAAAAAAATCTCGGATTTTTAAAAAACATTTAAATAGGATTTTTAAATTTTCGATTGGATATTTTTTACCTTTATTAAATTTATTTTAATAAAATGCTTTTGGAGTAAATCTATTTCTATCTCTAATTTAAGATACATTAATAATCTTGTTTATTCAGCATGAAATGGAGCTCAGTTATGTAGCATGAGGCTGTATATTCTGCAATATTGGGACTGTCGGTGAGCCGCTGCAGGACAGAGATGAAAGTTGCTCTTTAAAAATGAGGATTTAAATCAAGTTGATTTAAATCAAGCCTTTGTACTAGTGATTTAAATCGACTCGATTTAAATCAAATCCACCCTGCAACAGCACTAAAAAAAAAGTGACTTACGACTGGTTCCCATGCTTACAAATAGCCAGGTGCATCTCCACCATCATGTCATCAGAATTGAGCACCATTGGTGACTTTCCCAGGTAGCTTCGAACAAGCGAAGTCAATGGAAGGTGAAAGCTGGATTTGCTTAACCATTGCACTGATCCGCTTAATAACAGTGGAGGGGAAAAGTCATAAAATCAGGTGCCACTCACTTAACAGCCTCCTTGCTTAGCGACAGACATTTTGCTCTGAATTGTCATAAACCGAGGACTTACCTGTGTGCTGCCCATTGGAGAGGCTTTTGAGGAATTTGCTAAAGGGTAGTTTAGCCTTTAAACCCAGTTCAATTTAAACTGAAATTTTGGGGTTGCTCAGGGTCACTGAAATATGACTTTTTAAAAAAAAATATCCACTCCTTTTTGAAGCTTGTTTGATATCGTCACATTCGCCTGTATGCAAATGTAACCAATAAACTGATTGATAACTTTTTTTTGCTGTTGCAAATTAATTAATTTGCCTGAAGGATCATTTGGTGGGTCTGAGTTTTCCTGCCGTCCCACGAAGCAGGTTCCACACCTATCTTTCCGTTGATGGGAAACTATACATCAACCAGAGCTGAAGAAGCTTCTTGGGTGAGAAGCGAAATGTCTTCAAAGAAAAACTAGAAAGTCCAGTTGTCTCTTGAAAAAGCACCTTTGGGACATCCTGGAATCTGATTAGCCTAATCTTCCCATCTCAGTTGTTTTCTTGGCTGGCTGCAGAGCCCTGATTTCCTTCCAAGGTAATGGATCACCAAGCGTAGTAGATTTGATACCCTTTGAGATGGTAGTTGTGTCTCCAAAAGCTTAATTTGTAATGTTGGATTTTCCCCCTTACCGGAGGGAGCCCCCCCCCCCGTGGAGTACTGTGAAGCCGTTACCATGGCAACTCCACTGCGCTGTACAGTAGAAGCCATTTTAAGGCACAACAGGCTACATCTTAACACAACACACATACCCCGAGGGCTGTTAGGAATGTCTTACCCCCATTGTTTCCAGAGAGTAGGTCATCTGTGTACCAAGTTTGATTGAATTGCTCAATCAAAATCCTTCTGAATTAAGAGAGTTGGAAGGGACCTTGGAGATCTTCTAGTCCAACCCACTGCTCAATCCGGAGACCCTATACCATTCCAGACAAGTGACTGTCCAGTTTTCCTCCTTCGGTGGTCTTCCAAGAAACAAGAATCATTAATTAATGGGAGGTGGAAATCTGGCTCATCAACCCTACATGATAATTGAAATCACCATTAAGCTGTGGTGGCGTAGTGGCTTGAATGAATTATTGCAAGCTAATTTTGCCAACTGCCAGCAGTTTGATCCTCACAAGCTCAAAGTTGACTCAGCCTTCCATCCTTCCGAGGTGGGTAAAATGAGGAGCCAGATTGTTGGGGGCAAAATGTTGACTCTGTAAACCGCTTTGAAAGGGCTCTAAAGCACTGTGAAGCGGTATATAAGTCTAAGTGCTATTGCTTCCTTCCTTCCTTCCTTCCTTCCATCCATCCATCCATCCATCGTGACAGTGATTAGAATACAGTATTGAAAACTAACTCTGCCCACTTCCAGCAGTTGGATCCTGACCGGCTCAAGGTGACTCAGCCTTCTGTCCTTCCAAGGTTGGTAAAATGAGGACCCAGATTGTTGGGCGCAAGAGGCTGACTCTGTAAACCGCTTAGAGAGGGCTCTAAAGCACTGTGAAGCGGTATTTAAGTCTAAGGTCTATTGCTATTGTCTGTCCTAAGTGTTTGTCCTTCCTTCCTTCCCAGTGCTTATAATGCAGAATTGAAAGCTAATTCTGCCCACCACCAGCAGTTGGATCCTGATCAGCTCAAGGTTGACTCAGCTTTCAGTCCTTCCGAGGTGGGCAAAATGAGGAGCCAGATTGTTGGGGACAAGAGGCTGTAAACCGTTTTGAGAGGGCCGGAAAGCACTATAAAGCAGTATATAAGTCTAAAATGCAATTGCTCTTAAATAGACCAGTATTGTCAATGCTTTTTTACGCCTATCTGCTCCACTCTAGTGATCTGCTTATATTTTCCGCAATCCCACGGTTGCAGTGCTCCAACTGGATGGATTCGTACGTGCATTCCTTGCACACTTCATATATCTTTATTATGATTTATGAAGACCGGCTTCCTATTGGCAAGTCAGTTGTTTTCCCGGGTTTGACCGACAGCCCGAAAGCCCACCCTTTTCCCTCTTGCGTTTCTAAGTGACCCCCCCCACCAGCCGCCTCTTCGGGCCCCGCCCTCCCGCCGCTCCTATTGGCCGCCCTTCCCCGCCCGTGCTTGTATAGGCGGCGCGAGCGCGAGGGGCCCAATGGGCGAGAAGCGCGCGAGCCCGCTCTTCGACAGCCGATTGGCCCGTAGGCGGGGGAGAGGGCGGGGCAGCCTCTCTGCGGCGGCGTGAGGATACGTTTAAAGATGGCGGCGTCCGCGCGAAGGCGGCTTCGCTGAGGTAAAAAAGCCGCGGCTGAGGAGGGGAGAAGGCGGCCGCTTTCCCTCCCTCACGCCGGCTGGGAGCTAGGCGGACGCGGAAGAGACCCTGAGGAGCAGCTGAGATCGGGCGGGCATGGCTCAGGTGGGTGTCGGGCCTGGCCGCCTCTTACCTAGAGGAGGGGGCTGCCCGCCGGAGCCTCTGACTAGGCCCCGTGTCCCTTCTAGGCCTAGAAGCATTGATTTCCCCCCACTCCCTCGCTTGATTGACGGTCGGGGGTGGGGAAGCCCAATGGGCCACGTGACCTGCCCCAGACACACTATTACACCCCTCCCCCGAATTTGGGGGAGGGGGGAGGAGAAATTGGAGTATATTGATTTTAAATAATTCTATGAGATCTATAGAATAGGAAAGAATAGAATAAAATATGAAAGAGTAGAATAGAATAAAGAGTCGAGTAGAATATAGAATATAATGGAATAGAGAATAGAATAGAGAAATATTATAGAATGTAATAATGGAATTTAGAATAGAATAGAGGAAGAGCATAGAATATAGTAATGGAATAGAGAATAGAATAGAGAAAGAGTCGAGTAGAATATAGAATATAATGGAATAGAGAATAGAATACAGAAAGATTATACAATATAATAATGGAATAGAGAATAGGGAAAGTAGTAGAATATAGAATATAATAATGGAATGGAGAATAGAATAGAGGAAGAGCATAGAATATAGTAATGGAATATAGAATAGAATAGAGAAAGAGTCGAGTAGAATATAGAATATAATGGAATATAGAATAGGGAAAGTAGAGTAGAATATAGAATATAATAATGGAATGGAGAATAGAATAGAGAAATAGAGAAAGTATAGAATATAATAATGGAATGAAGAATAGAATAGAAATCAGAAAGTGTAGAGTAGAATATAGAATAGAATAGGGGAATGAAGAATTGAATTGAATTGCATTCTTTATTGGCCAAGTGTGATTGGACACACAAAGAATTTGTCTTTGGTGCTTATGCTCTCAGTGTACATAAAAGAAAAATAAAATAGAATACATTCATCAAGGTGTATGATGACAGATTTAGATTTAAATTAAGATTTAGATGCTTTATGTGCATTTGTATGGGAGGGTAGAAGGGGGGGGGGTTAAAGCTTTTTTCTTTTTTAGGGCCACAACTCTGTAAAGTCGGTTGGGCTTGGCCCAAAGTCACCCCACGGTCTGAGGGGGCTCCAAGGGCTTTGGGGAGGCCCCATGCAGGATTGTGCTTCTTGGTCTAAATAGACCTCAGGGAGGATTGGTGGTGGTGGGGATACAGCTGCCTTCCTGGTTTGGGAGGAGGGACTTCTTTCAGGGATAAAATAAGTCACATAAAAGTAAATGCTTGACCTCCAGTTATACTTCATAATCGTTTATTTTTATGTGATTTATTTTTATTTTGTAAGATTTATTGCAACAACAACAATAGTAAGATTTTTTATTAACCCTAATCCATCTTACCGTGGATGGCACGTAATATTATTTGTACAGGTAGTCCTTGACTTACCACAGTTCATTTAGTGACCAAAGTGAAAACCATACTGAAAAAAGTGACTTATGACCATTTTTTGCACTTGTGACCATTTAGCATCCCGTGTTCATGTGATTTACCTTTGGATACTTGACAACTGATTCATTTATTTGCCAGTTGCTGGGTTCATGTGATCCCCTTATGTGACCATCTGAATAGCAAAGTCAATGGGGAAACCAGACTCACTTAACAACCATGTTACTAATTTAACAATTGCAGTGATCCACTTAACAAATGTGGCAAGAAAAGTTATAAAATGGGGCAAAACTCACTTAACAGATTTCTCACTTAGCATCATAAATTTTGGGCTCAATTGTGGTAAGATAAGGACTACCTGCATTGCTCTCTACCATTCCATGTGTGTATTTGTGTATGTATCTATTAAATTTATTGATGTTTGTGCTTTTCTCCTGGATTCCTTGTAATTAGGGTTAAATCATGATGCATGACATTAATGGAGTCATTGCAAGATTCTTATAAAAGATTGGGAGGGAAATAGATCTTTCCCTCATCACATCAACTGTACAATTTGTGTCTGAGTACTGGAGAGAGGAGATACCTCTGTCCAATAAAAATCGGACCTCCAAGGGAGTGGCACCATTTTCTCCTTTGGGGCTGTAGGTGTTCTAATTTTTGTGGTCCTCTTAGGTGCATTGTTACATACTTGCCTAGGGCAGTATCTGAGAATTGAACACAATTGAATGAAGGGGGGGGGGAGCTAGTACATTTCTGGTAACTGTAGAGCAGTGTTTCTCAACTTTGGCGACTAAGTCCTGTGGACTTCAACTCCCAGAATTCCCCAGCCAGCTATGCTGTAGAGCAATGACACTGTGAGTAATTCGTAGAAAAAGCACCAGCTTTTTCAGTCATGTAAAATTCTTTGCCTTTCAAAGCAAGTGGTCCTTTTTGCTTTTGTTTCTGTAGTTCATCATGCTTTTTTTGGAAGCCTGCCAGGTGACCTAGTTCAGATCTGAGAGTGTTTTCTTTTATTAAAGCAGACAGCCTGTTTAAGTGAATGAGTCTTGTGGCAACAAAGTTTACAGATTTATTCTGGCAAATCTTAACTTGATCCAGCTTGGTGTTGCTTCATAACACCTTGCCCTAATTTTTTTATGGAACATAATCTGAAATAAATCTACTTGTTCAACTATTTGCTTCTATCTAGCTGTTCCACTACTTTGAATTCTCAAAGGAAGCTTATCGAAGTTGAAGGTAGTATTTCCCTGAAAGACCATCATCCTTGCTTGCCATTTGTATCTGTCACCCCAGGCCTTGTTTACATAATAGTCAAAATGACACCTATGGAAGCTATACTTGTACATGAAATGAAAACAAGTCTTCATAACTATGTTCTGTACATCATCAGAATTTTACCAAGGATGGGTTGGCTCCATTGTTAACTTAGAACGAGGAACTTCAAGAGAAATGAAACATTTTTGGAGAACTGTGTTGCTTTTTACCCATTAGTCAATAAAAGAAATACAGATAATCCTCGGTTTATGTCCACAATTGAGCCCAAAATCTCTGTTGCTAAGTGAGGCAGTTGTGTGAATTTTCCCCATTTTGCAACCTTTCTTGCCATAGAAGGTCACAAAAGGAGATCCCAGGGACACTGCAACCGCCATAAGTATGAGTCAGTGTCCAAATATCTTAATTTTGATCACATGACCATGGGGATGCAATGGTCATAAATCACTTTTTTCAATGCTGTCGTAACTTCGAACTTTCACTAAACTGTTGTTAAATAGAGGACTACCTATATGTTATTCTCAGGATTGGGTAATTGGACTGTACTTCCTAATCCGAGCAATTGACAGTTGACTTATTTTTCTTTGCAGGCTGAAAGAAGTCGAGAAGATCTACAACAGCCAATGGAAGAAGCTCTTAGCTCGGACATCAGCTATTTAAGTTGAATGCATTGTGATTTCCAGTAATTGAGACAGTGATTCTGAAAGCTGTCCACATTAATGAAAAGAGCAATGTAGTCAGCTTAACTGAATCATCAGTGTTGCCTTTTGACTAAAGCACGACCAATCCTCTCTGGAGAGACTTCTGCATGTGAGGATCATAGATTCCTACAACCCTTTCGTTTAAAACTTGATGGGTTTATTTTATTTCCCCCCTTCCCCTTTGGGTAAGTTTTAGCAATGGAGAATTGTGAAAACACACCTCCCCTTCCAAAAGAGCCAGCCAGCAATGAAATGAACATGGAGAACCCTTCTTGTCCCCCACCACTGCCACCCAACGAACAGCCTCCACCACCTCCCCTGCAAACGTCCAGTGACGCAGAGGTAATGGACGTTAGCTTCGGTGGTGATGGACAGTCAGATACCCCTGCTGGGGACGCCCACGCTGGCAATGGGATTCAGCTTCTCACCAAGGGATCTCCGTGCTACCAAAGTCATCTTATCATAGATCCTCATAGCAACCAAAGCCCAAGAACTGCTCGCCATGCACCCTCGGTTAGGAAGTTCATTCCCGATCTTAAGTTGCTTAAGGATGTAAAGATTAGCGTTAACTTTACAGAGAGCTGCAGAAGTAAAGACAGAAAAGTGCTATACACTGGAGCTGAGCCAGATTATGAGGCAGGGGCAGATGTAGGGATTCGCGGTGTCAATGGGGATGTGCATGCTTGCCCTCTTGGTGGTAGTAGTGGCGGCCCGGCAGCTCAGGTAGCCGGCAAAAAGGAGGAGACCAAGGATGAGGACAACGAGGTAGATCAGGAAAAGCGAGTGGAATATGCAGTGTTGGATGATTTAGAAGAGTTTACAGACAATTTGATGGAAATAGATGAAGAAGGAGGGTTTGCATCTAAGGCGATCGTTCAGCAGGACAAAGTGGACGAAGAAACCTTGCACTATTCTTACGAGGTAATTACAGTTTATTTTTTTGTTTCCAGAGTTTGGCTTCAGGAATGAAATTGCAAATATACGGCATTTCTGCAGCATGTGTATTAATTTGGGGAAGCGGGGGGAGGTAAGGGAAGAAAATCTTAGTGGAACAAAATTTGGGCTTGGGGCTTAATCGTAGAAAAGATACAGATAGTCCTCAATGTACAACCACAATTAAGCCCAAAATTTCTGTTGAGAAATTTTGAGACAACTGTTAAATGAATTTTATGACCTTGTCACAGTTGTTAAGTGAATCACTAAAGTTGTTCTGTTAGTAGCCCGGCTGTTACGTGAATCTGGCTTTGCCATTGACTTTGCTTGTTGGAAGGTCACAAAAGGGGATGATATGACCCTGGGACACTGCAACGGTCATTAATATGAACCAATGTCCAAATTTTGACCACATGACCATGGGGATGCTGAAATGGTTGTAAGCATGAAAAACATAAGTTGATTTTTTCAGTGCTGTTGTGACTTCAAATGATCACTAGACAAATAGTTGTAAGTTGAGGACTGACCTGTACAAGTGGTTCTTGGTTCGCAACCATTTTCAGTCACAAGATGAAAAAAGTAACTTAACAACAGATTCTCACAATTGGAGCCTTCACAGGTCTGGAAAGCAAAGGAAACCTGAAGCCCAAGTTGCAGATTCACCTAGTATCTGCTTCACTTAACCACCGAGTTGTCTGTCTGAGTTGTGGTTGCTAAGTGAGGACTATCTGTAGAGCTCATCAAAGTACCATGTTTCCCTGAAAATAAGACCCAACCAGAAAATAAGTCCTAGCATGATTTTTCTGGATGCTTGTAATATAAACCCTACCCCCAAAATAAGCCCCAGTTAAGATCGTCAGCCAAACGGATGCATTTTAGTACTATATGTCCCCAACAAGTAAGGCCTAATAAAAAAATAAGGCCTAATACGTCTTTGAGCAAAAATTAATATAAGACCTGGTCTTGTTTTCAGGGAAGCATGGTAGCTGCATTTTTAAAAAATCATCAAATCTTCCTGAATTATTACAGAGCTGCTGAGCTACTTACCACTGCTTGAAACTTGCCACCTTGATACAATCCAAGTCACTTGGGTAATTCATAGGTCTCTGCAGCCGTACCAATCTTCCCAGGGAGTGAGGAGAATATGGGGTGTGGTATCTACCTGACAGTATGTTTTTCAGGATGAATTTGATAATGATGTGGACGCTTTGCTGGAAGAGGGACTTTGCGTTCCCAAAAAAAGGAGGATGGACGAGAAATATGGAGGGGAAAGCGACCATCAGTCCGATGGAGAAACCACTGTGCAGCCCATGATGACCAAAATAAAAACTGTTCTTAAAAGTAAGCTTTTGCAGTAATCCTACACCTTGTTTCCGTGACTATCTCAGTTTCTGTAAGAGGCTGGCTCTCTTCCTGTTCACATCTAGCCCAGAACAACTGCATTTCTCTGAGAGAGATGGGTGGTTAAGAAGTGTAAAAAAATAAATAAATTGGTCCACACCCAGAAGAACACCGGAGTTGTTCCGGGTGTGATTAAAACCACTTGATTCGTGCAGTTTTTATTTTACAGATAGACTACGGAGGATTTCTACACACCCTTAACTGTCTTTGCCCGTTTTCTCTAAAGCAGGGGTTTCCAACTTTATGCTTTGTGGACTTCAACTCCCACAATTCCTCAGCCAGCCATTCCTGCTGGGGAACCTGGGAGATAAAGTCGTAAAGTTGCCAAGGTTGGAGAGTCCCACTTTGGAGAAAAAGGAAGAGTTGATAAATTTCAACTGGCATGTCAGGAGGGTTTCTTCAACCAGTATATGAGGAACCTCAAGCTTCCAGCTAGCTTGATGGTTAACCAGGGAGATGGGAGGCACTTCTGTTTCAAAATAATAATTGAAGGGTTTGGGCACTAAGCAATGCCTCAGTGTTGTGGTCTGCCAGCGGAGCTGGTGGCAGATTCGGACAGTGAGGAGGTTGGGGAGGAACCTGGGCCAGTCCTGGAGTCTGGGGAAGGCTCTGACAAGTGCTCTGCATCAGAGGCAGAGATGGGGCTAGGGCCGTCTGACAGTTATCAGCTGCCTTTGGAGTCAGAGATCAGTGGGGCAGAAGAACAACTGGAGCCTGTTCCTGATGTGCACATGCACAGAGCTGCCAGGAGAAGGAAACAGTTAAGGAACAAGGGCCGGCTCGGGAGTAACGGCACAGGTGGGCCGTGAATGGCCCCTCCCATGGAGAATAAAGAGGAAAGGGGAGTGGAGTTTGCAGGAGACAATTAGTTCACTTAATTAGTGTGAAGATTTGTTCGGGATTCTCAGAGACTCCTTGCCAAGTATTTTCTTGTACAGCACTGCATTTGGAAGATATTGGCCTGGCAGCTCTCCAAGCCTGATAAGGGCTCTGGTTGTAAATTCTTCCTTGAAAGACTGTTTGCCGGGACTTTGCTGGATGTGAATGAGATGAATTCACATTAGCTTTATAAAAAG